CAAACAACAGCACTTGTGGTAACTGCCTCCCTGGAGACCCACTTCCCAGCTGTGGATTTTCCTCCCTGGATGCTCAGAGGCCATTTCTCCCAGACTCATCAGGCAGTGAGTCAAACTGAACCACAGCCAGAAACCCATCCCCATTGGTTATTTTTGCCTCTAAGGAGGACGAACTTGTTATTTTAACATCTTGCCTTAAACCCTAGTGACAACTGGAGAAAAAGGCTGGTGGCTTTGCTCCACCACCTGGTTCCTCCTAGTTTGAAATGTTCACTGGAAACTTACGGGTCAGCACTGAAAGGGCACTAGCAAACGGAGTCTTTAAATATCCTGATCTTAAATGGACTGTTTGCTTAGATGCACAATAGAAAGTTGTGAAAATGCAGCAGCAATTACCTAAGAATCCTCAGGAAGGGAATAAATCACCCCCACCCTGTCTTCCCCTCTGCTGCCCAGAGAAAGGTTGACTCAGGATCATCAAGGGGGTTTGGTTTGCGTTTTCCCAAAGAATGCAGGTGCTTGTTAAAGTCTTCTGTTGTAGTTTTCCTCTTCCCCACCCTCGGCCCCTAGACAGGCCCGGGGAGACCCCTTAGCAGACTCATTCATTTCCCTTCTGTTAATGGGAGTAGGATTGGCACATTATCCTGGGAGGCTCCAGAGGCGAGTAACAAATCGGAGGGTCAACCACTTTTCTGGGAAGGCAAAGGAATTGTCTAGCACCGCAGTGGCCAACTCAGTTTCAGGTCAGAAGGCTGTTTGGACCCTAGCTTTGGAAGCTGTGTGACCTGAACATGTCATTCAACTTCTCGGAACCTGGGTTTTCTTATCTGTAAAATCAGATCCTCACACTGGATTGTTCTGAAGATTTCATCAAGTATTATTCATAACAGGTGCATAGCACCTGCTTACCTGATAAGGATCTAATGAATATCTAGTTAAAGCAATGACTCTAAGTCAGAAATTCTAACAGCTCCCTATTAATGGACTGGGCTGACTTAGAGGACAGTATCATGCAACCAGGAGGATCCAGGTGAAGGTGGCTACCTCTGAGGTTTCCAAAAAGGACTTCTGCATCCACTGAATGGCTGGCTGAGATGAACCCTGCTATCCCAGCTCCTGGTGGGTGGCGGGCGGGGGTGGATTGATGAAGGGAAGACCGTGAACCACAAGGCAGACATCTGGCTCTTGGCATAGAACCTTATGTGTGCCACCAAGACCGCCCATCGGACCCTGCATGGCCTCTGGAGTCTATTTTTACTCCTCGAATCTTACAGATCTGTTTTGTTAATCTCCTTATATTTGCTGTTTTGACTTCCCAGCGGCTTGCTAATCAGTTTGCCTATTTGACTCACAGGGTTCGCGTTTGTCCCTGGGACTTAAACACACACTTGTTTTGATTTCTTTTTGTAAAATTAGAAGCGTTTGATGTAATGACTCTACCTAGACACAGCTGGTAAAATGAGAATAATGTTCAAGTTTGCATAGTTTAAACACAATGTAGACAATAATTAGAAATGCTATCTTTAGATGTTTAGGATAAGCTTTTTCTCAGAATTGCAGTGAATTTTTTTTTTTTTTCCCTGAGCGGGGCTTTTTAGTGCATATACACAGAAATACTAAAAACGTAAGAAAATAGAGCAAATCAGCGAGCACTTTGGTCAACTTGAAAGACTGCAGGAAATAAACTAACTGATTTTAGATCTGCCTTTTTCGACTGAAAGCATAAAATCTTTACATCCCCCATCTTTTTCATGACTACCAGATGATAAAATAATTTTAGGCGACAGATTGGATGAGTTGCTACAATACCGTTGGAAGCAATCTTCAGCCCCTGCAGGGAGAGTAGCAGGGAGAACAAGGCAAATAATATAATTAATCATCAATTTCAGGAAAATTATCACATTTTTATTTCAGGTAACAAAAAAGATATAGTTGCGATACATGATGATCACAGAACCCAATCTAGCAAGGTCTGCACATGAATAGAAGTTCCTTCTTTCTTTAAATAAAAAAAATTAAAAAGCCAATTGTTTTAACTTTAATAGGCTATCACTGGCCTTGGATAAGATCCCCAAATATATTCCTGAGCTCACAGATTCTCCATCAAGCCATCCAGCATTATGCAGACTTTCTCTCTGCATCCAGAAGAAAAATTCTCTTAGTAAAGAGGTGATATGAAATGTAAGACAGCACATCTGTATCTATCACTTTAAATTGCCTTCATGCTGTATCAACTTGTTTTATTTTGTGAGCCTCAGTAATATCGAGAGACAACGCCTTCTTGTTTTTTTTTTTTTGGTTTCTCTTTCTAATTAGATTGGCTTTGAGCTCCCGATCGCGTGTCTCTGATCTTCAATTTTTTTTTTCTCTGTGCCGAAAGACATTTAGGGAAAAGGGAATGTATTAAAGCAGTGAGTTGGGCTTTGACTTTTTGGAGTCCTAACTGGAGCTGTCTGAAGCTACCCTAGGTGTTAGTAAAGAGGAGGACTGATCCAGATGGAGGCTTCCAGAATGATACCCGAGAGAGAAGGTGCTCAGATAAAGACTTATCTGAAGAGAAGTAGGTGCCGTCACCCACAGTGCTGTAGGAGCAAGACAGCCAGAGGGACAAGGGAAACTGTCATTGTAAAGAGCCAGGAAAGATGCCCTCAATAAGCAAGCATCTGGCCTTTGAAGTTCCTTCAAGAGGAAACAGAACTTTCCATGCCGTATGATCAGCAGGGAGCAAACGCTCCCAGTGGAAGAACTCATGGGAAAATCCACTCCAAAGTGCGAATGGCTGATGGCAGAGCCTGGTTCTAGAATTTGCCACGGGGATGGGGATATGTGTTTGGGAGCGGAGGCCATGCAGGTCTCTGGCCGGTGGTCCTGGGGCAAGCTGTGGGAGAAGGCAGGGGAAGAGGGTGGCAGGTGGGCAGGAGGAGTGTGGAACAGGAAGGAATCTGGATGGGAAATGCCTGGTTTACAAACACCGATCCATCTCCACATGCCTTAATTAAAAGAAAGAAATAGCATCCCCAGGAAGGCAGAGTGTGGGCAGAAGCCTTCATTAGGAGAACGGCCAGCTCAGCTGCATTTATCCAGACTCTTCTGCATTCTGCAGGGAAGCCGGCTGGGACAATGAGTGGACAGACACACCTGTAGAGTAACAGGCGGGAGCCTCCGCCTACAGAGCAGGACAGCGGCAAAACCCTAGACACGTGAGGCTCAAAGTCTAGTTAAATCTCTTCCAAGTCTCCTATGCTTCGAAGACATGGTCTGCTTTGGCCTATTATCCCTTCTGTGCCTGTGCATCTGGGGACAAGACTCCTCCCCAACCCAGAGGGTAAGTCTGGATGGACTCAACCCCATCACAGGAGAACCATCTCCTTGCCAGGGACTGGTGCAGACATAGGCATGTGACTGGGTTAGGTGGTATGTGATGATTCTGACCAATGAAATGTGGCAGGAACTGGGTTCCTTGTTCCTAAAGCACCCACCTGCATATGTGGGGAGAAACTTCCTTCTGCCCTGGGACACATGTGGCAGCAGGTGATCCCTGGGGCTGGCGCAGCTGTCTTGTTTATCATGGGGAACGTGAACCAGGGACATGGAAACCCAGATGGCCGCTGACTTTCTGGAATGAACCAGCCCTGGAGTGCCCCACTTCAGAGGTCCTTGTTACGCAAGAGAACTCCCTTCCCTCTTGTTGACATTCCTGTAAGGGTGACTTGCTGCTGAGAGAACCATGATTGGTGTGGGGTCATCTGGTGGAGTGGGGACAAGAATGCCACAAACTTTCCCAACAACTCTTAAGAAGACAGGCAGACAACCACAAGAAATTGCTGATGCTCCTTTTAATGTCTGAGGGACAGATGAATAGTGTTGGAGGGGACATAGTGTCACACACACATATGAATGGCATGTTGGACTTGGATCCTATGTGACAGGGTCCTAACTCACTGGCTCCTGGTCTACCTAATAACACATGACCCTCCCAAGCTAACTGTACACAGAGAATTTAAGTCAAAGCTCCCTTTGTCCCCATCTCCCCAAAGCCCAGGCTCTCTGGGGCTCCCAGAGCTTTCTGGTCCTGATGACATGTGTTAGAGTTTATCATAAGCCCAGCTTTCCAAAAGGTGATGAACGAGGCCTTAAAGATAAACACTTGGCTAACTGTGTGTCAACACCAGAACTTCTGTGTGGCAAAATTTTTCTTTTTGTTATTATTGTATTAAATCTGGTTGTGTGTTCCTTTGGTGGCTCTGGTGTCCTGTGCAGTAGTTGAGGCCCAATCCAGAGAAGTTCTTGACTGCTGGCCTGTGTGAGCTTCGGAGCTGCAGAAGCCACCTCCCCTGAGCAGGAGTTATGGGGTAGGTCTGAGGGGTGATGGACAGACTGGAACACAGAGGCAGGGATGGAACACTGGGGGCTCTGCAGTCAGGGACTGAGGACGTGTCCTTGTCCCAAGGGGCAACAGGGTACTGACTCCAGGACCCTCTCATTTCTCAAGGGGGGTGACCTCTGGTGAGTGGGAGGGAAGCAGCTGGAGGCCCACACAGTGGGCCCTTCTGGTTGCACTCCTTCCTCCTTCAGAGTCAGGCAGTACAATATCCGATGGGCTGTCATTCAGCCAGGAGGGTCACAGGAGATGAAAACCACAGGAAGTGCAGGCCGGGGCTGGACACCTGTACAGGTTTCCCACCCAGGGCCATGGTCCTGGAACAAGCTTTGGTTTCTTAGGATGAATTTCCAAGCCCTGCCACCTTGGGAGGCTCTCTTTTCCCTGCAGGGGGCGTTTCAAAAGAGTGACTGTGGTTCTGAGGGGTTCTGAGCTTTGGGATGCGGCACTGGACCATCCTGGGGAGAGGAACCCAGCCCAGTTCAGAGAAGGGTCTGTGGGCTGATGCTCTGCAATTTCTTGAAGCTCTGGTCCACCTGGAAAGGCTCATTTCATCCCCAAGGAAAGTAGCAGCTGGGGTGGTGTGTGTGGGGAGGGACTGTTCCCTCTTTCTGTGTCCTTGACCTTGTACACTTGGTTCTCAGTCCTGTCCGTGGGCTTCGGCGCTGTAGTGAAGTCATGGTGGTTCCTCTCTCTTGCCCTGTAGGGCCATGGGCTCTGTCTTGTCTCTAAAACCCCAGCATCTGGTGGCACAGGGGCAGTGGCCTGAGTGTTCTGAAGGTGTGAAGGGCTGGTCCAGGAAACTAGACTGACCCATAAGCAGCAGCTCTTCCCCAGCCCCCAAAGGCAATCAAAGCAGGTAGGCAGCACATGCCGAATAGGGAGGCCATCATTTCTAGATCTAGCCCTCATCTCACCCCAGAAACAAACGTCAGAGCACGGCTGGGGTCCCCTGCCCCTTCCCCTCCTTCCGGCTCCTTCACTTGAGATCAATTAATCCTTCAGCCTCGCAGGCTGTGGATTCCAAACCAGAAGCCAGCCTTCTCAGCCCGCCCAAGTCCCCTTCGCCTGCCAGTCGGCCGGTGACAGACAGTGCTGCTGCGGGAAGCCAGGAACACCCACGCTGCGAGGTCCTGGGGCCCCGACGTGATGGAGTGCAGCCGAGGGCCCCGTGGACACATTACACTCAATTACACCTCTCCCTCCGGCCGCCTCGCCACTACCTCGACGGAGGCCTGATTAAAACCCGTCCCTTCCCAGCTCTTCCCCATAATTTTGATCGACAACATTAAATGTTAATAGAAAAACATCTGATCTCGAATAAAACAAATGCCGACAGAAAGATGGATGCCGCCAACCAGCCCTATGGCAGCCACGATCCCCGCGCCCGGCCGTGTCACATGTCACAGCAGCGCGTCTTCGCAGAAAGAGATGGCGCCGAGAAGCTCCGGTGGAATAAATCATGGGAACGTGCCCAGTTTGCAGCGGGAGCAGGGTTTTCTCGTGTGCACACGCGGAGGTGTCTCAGGGGAAAGCGGCCCGAGAGCGTGTTGGACGTCCCCTCCTTCCCTTACCCGGTGCCTCCAGTGTGCCATCCCGTCGGACCCGATCCCTCTCAAGTTGGCACGGCGCTCTTGGTGTCCCCACCCTCCGGGACCCCTTCGCCGTCTTCCCGTGTGGAGTCCTCGGCCACTGGCTTGGGGTCCTCCAGGCTGACCAGGGGAGACGTGGAGAGCTCCCCCGCGGAGGCCAGGCCCTGCGGGGACAGCCCCGGCTCGCTCCTCCGGCCCTCGGTGGGACTCTCTCTCCTGGCCTCTTCCAGTTCAGCCTGTTCCTCTGTCAGTTTAATGATTTCCCTTCCAAGCCTGTTTGCTTCTCCTTCCGCAGAAGGTACCTGGGGTAGTGAAGGATGCTCTCGCGGGTTCCCGGGGGTCGGATTTGCTGGGGAGCTGACAGCGGGCCTCGCGGCGGCGTCCGCTGTCAACACCCCGGTGGCGGCGGCGGCCAGGCTTTCGTCTCCTTCTTGCTTCTGAGCCTCCCCTGAAACAGAACGCAGACAGCCTCAAACCTTGGCAGCAAGTCAGCCCTCGCCCCTCCTCTCCTGCCGCCCGTGGTGACCGGCACAGGGACACCCAGGAAGAACCCCTCTTGCCCTCCCCTTCCATGCATTTGGGGCGCCCCTGCCCAGGGGAAACAGTGGACCCACATTTAAAGAGTGAGTAAATGCTCTGGTGCTGGCTGTCGCTGATGAAGGGCAGGGTGCACGGGGTCACGTTCGTGATCCTTCTGCTTGAGGTGCCTGGCCACCTCCTCACCTCTACTGGCCTCCTTGTGACCAGACTGTCATTGGGCAGCTCAGGGAAGACCTGGGGCTTTTTATAGTAAAGGAAGGAGGCTCTGAGCGCCTCCAGGGTGAGAAACAGAAGGCCAGTGTGACAGGGATTTAGTGTCACTGCATCCCTTACTGTCCTCTATCAGCATCTCTGTTCTTTGATGTTTCTTTAATCTCAAAGAAAAGATTATGTGCAAAAGTAGCTTCATGTTCCCTCCTTCCACACTAAGTTACTGTCCCTGAACACCTTTTCTATGTGATGCAAATTCTACAGCTGCAACACGAAGGGGCCGGAGACAAGGGGGAGCCCTGGATGCACCTTGTCGCTGTTTCTCTGCTCGATTACTTTGTAATCAGAAGGACCTGTCTGGCCTCTGATTCTCAGATACAGAGTGAGGGGAAGGACTCCCTCGGGTGCCTCCCAGACCTAATGATGACAGACAGCGGCTTGGTGGAGTGGTCTCGCAGGGCCCAGACCTTCGTCCAGCTGCAGACTGCTTCCCACAGCCCAGGTGTTCTTAGCCCTCCGGCAAAGCAGTGATGAACCTTACAGAAGAGCACAGTTGGGCCTGTTTAGTGCAGGCACAGGCCCTGGTTAGGGGTGGAGGGCCACACTTCCTGGCCCTCCCGAACGGGGTCACAGTAGAACCCATTCTCACTGAGCTTGCCATCAGACACGTGCAGGTGTGTTTTCGGGCTGCATGCTGGATGTGGGTAGCGGAAGAACAAGCAGGGGTGGGGACAAGGTGGAGCATGTTCTAAACAGGTCATTTGCTTGCTTAAAACTTTTTGCTTGGAGGCTCGGGATCAAGTTCCATTCCTTTCACTTAGGTCTTTGCAAGGTCCTGTTTCACTCTACAGCTTCGGTTCCCAGGTTCACTCACATACAGGTGACCTTCCAGGAAGGGGACATGCCTTTTAGGTTTCTGATGACACCGTTCAGTTTCTCCCTTCTCTAAAGTGAACCCTGCCAGCTCATACATTGGTGAGCTTTTGTGCTGGGTACTGAGCTAAGCATTTGACAAGTGTAACTTATCCAAGAACTTTAAGTCCATGAGAACTGGAGCCTCGGCTGGCTGGTCCGCATTATGGGACACATTGTAAGCACTCAAGAATATTTTCAAAAATAGGCCTTACTTTTCTTTTTTAATGAAAGTATAATGTGAGGAGATTGGACAAATCTATATAAGCATACAGCTCTGCATGATCAAGCTTCCCGTTACTACAGCCAATACCTGAGACATCTAACTTAGAAAGGCTTATCTGGCTCCCAGTTTTGGTTGGGCCCATCACTTTGGGCAAGGCAGCACATCATGGTAGGAGTATGAGGTGGACCACAACAGCTGCCTCCTGACCAGGAAGCAGAAGAGAAGAGAGGAAGGGCCCAGGCTTCCACTGTTCCCTTCAAAGGCATCCCCGCCCCCCCTGCAATGACCTGAAGATGTCACTCTAGGCCCCACCTTTTAAAGGTTTTGCACCTCCCAGTAGCATCTCCTTGGGGACCAAGCCTCTAACACATGATCTTAAGATGCCACATAAGATCCAAACTATACTAAGAAAAATGAATTTTCTCAAAGTGAATACACTAACAAAACCAGAAACTGGGATGAGAAACAGAATATTACCCATCTCTTCCAAACACGTCCTAGTCTAGTGCCCCCAGAATCCCTGCCTGGTCACTTCTCTAATCACTATCCTGTTTAGAATGTCCAAATCAGTTTTGCCTGGTCGCTGAACTTTATATACCGGAACCTGTGCACACCAGTCTCTGTCTGACTCCTTTTGCTCTATATGAGGTTTGTAGGATTTTTTCCTCGTGTTTAGAAGTGGTTCATTTAAACACACAATTTCCAACAAATATTGAATGAAAAACATTGAATGAAGACAGGCAATTCACAGGAAAAAAAATACAAATGGCCAGTGAGCACATGAAATGACTCACATCATCACACACAATTAACGTAATCTAAATTGCAACAGGTGGTTTCCCATCATCTCAACTGGCAAAAATTAAAAGGTTTTACAAAGTTCAGCATTGCTAAGGATATAGGGAAGTAAGGGCAATTATATAAAGTAAGAGAATGAAAAGTACCCAAATGCTTTTATAGGTCATTTGGACATCATCTATCTCATCCTTAAAAGTATTTGAGAAAGTAATTCTATCATTAGGAATCTACCCAGGGAGATCAGCCCAAATATTTCAAGACATTGGTTCCTGAATGCTCAATACAGCATTGATTTTAATAGCATAAACATGGAAACAGTTCACCAAGGGGATTATGTACAGAAGTACTCTGACCAATTGTAAAATTCTTTCTAGAGGTACAGGTTGAGCATCCCTTATTCTAAATGCTTAAGACTAGAAGAATTTCAGATATATTTTTTTTAAATCTCTGCCCATACATAATGAGATATCTTAGAAGGGGACCCAAGTCTAAACATGAAATTCAGTCATTTCATACACACCTCATACACATAGCACAAAAAGAATTGTATGCAATATTTTCAGTGCATGTGCATTTTGACTGTGACCCATGACATGAGGTCAAGTGCAGAACTCCACTTGGGACATCATGTTAACATGCAAAAAGTTTCAGATTTTGGAGCCTTCCAAATTTCAGATTAGGGATGTTCAAACTGTAGACACTAAAAAATGTTAAGTTACCTCTGGGGAACAACAGACTAAGGACCAGGGCAGGAAGCAAGGGTGGAGAAGACTCTGAATTGAATCGCACTTTTGGTGCTATTTACATTTTTTTCTTTTTGCTATTTACATTTTTAACAAGAGCTTGTGTTACTAGTTTTAAAAAATAAGATATGCAGACTCCAAGAATCTGCTCTGATTTGTAGGCTGGGGAGTCTACACCCACTGCTTCCATTTCCCGAGTCTGATTCCTACCTTAGATCCTTCAATCTGACCTATGTTCTCCCCACCAGGGAGGTCGCAACACCAGCTCCTGTTCTCTTCTCAGTCCCCTCCTCTGTCTCCCTGGTAGCACCCATCTCCACTGGCCACACACCCCTCTCAATTTTCCCTGCCTGTGTTTTCTAGGACAATACCATGTTCTTTTGTTTCTCCTCCAAGCTAGTTCTGTGAGCATGCTGTATTAGTCTCCTATGGCTGCTGTAACAAATAACCACCGACTTCATGACTTAAAACACCACAAATGGGTTCTGTTATAGATCTGGAGTTCAGAAGTCCAAGGTGGGTTCCACTGGGTGGCAGCCAAGGCCACACTTCCTTGGAGACCCCAGGGGAGGTCTGCTCCTGACCTCTCCCAGTTTCTGATGGCTGCCTCCTTCCCACCTTTGTCACCTTCTCTCTTTTTGCTTTCTTCATGTAATGACACATGTGACCATATTAAGAGTTCACCCAGATAATTCAAGATCCATAAATCAGTCATCTCTGTGAAATTCCTGTGCCAGAGGAGGTAGGGTTTATGGGTTCTAGGGAATTCAGCCTGAAATCTTTGGGGTCATTATCTGGCCTCATAGAAGTACCCTCCTAGTTTCCTTGGCTGATCCTGATATCTCCTGGACCCTCTCAGCGGTCTTCTCCAATGATGCGGCCTCTGTTTCACTTCCCTTCTTCATGCAGTGTCTTGCCCACTGGCCATTAACCCCTGCCCACAAGTGCAACTTCCACAGCTATATCCGTGGCTCTACCACCTATCCTGTAAGACATCCAGACCTAATGTTTCTGACTGCTGATTGGATCCTCTACCTTGAAAACCTGCTGGCTCTTTCTGGAAGACAGTTTTCCCCCAGCACACCTCCTCCTGATGCCATGATGCCATTTCCATACTGCCCTGTGGTCACCTAGACTTCAGACTTGAAGCCACTTTAGTATATCAGCTCCTCTTCCTTTCCATCCATGACTAAACCCTGCCCGTGTCCCTCTGGGTGATGAACTGAATGCTGTGCCCTCTCCAAATTCCTGTGCTGATGCTCTCGCCCCCAACATGGTAGCTTTTGAGGTGAGAACTGTGGGTGGTGATCATGTTTCAAAGGGTCATGAAGATGAGCTCCCCATGAAAGATTTAGTGCCTTTGTAAGACTCTCTGTCTACCACTTGAAGACATAGAAAGAAGGCCGCCATGCAAAAGCCAGGAAGAGTCCTCTTCACTGAATCCACAGCCCCCTGAACCGGGACTTCCCAGCCTCCAGAATGATGAGGAGTTAATATCTGTTGTTTAAATCAGTAAATACATAGTACTCTTCTAGAGCAGCCTGAGCTGGCCAGGCCACTGCTGTCTGCCTCTGCTCACTTTTCCTTCTCAACGTAAACCACGGGTCAGCCGTCTAAGGTCCCTCTACATCAGGGTGGTGGCCTGTTTCCCCACAGCTTGGCTGGACATGACCTTCATACACCATCTCAGCCAGTGTACCGGGAAGCATTCAGACAGTAGATGCAAACCAGGCTGGATATTTCAGACCCTCCGACCCCCACAGGTGACAGGTATGCGGTAACTGTCCATAAGGGTTATATATGAACTTTGAGGATTACTTGATCTAGAAAGATCATATAGTCAAGACGGCATAAATCTAATGTTTTTATACTTCAAGATTTTACCTAAAAAGAAGGTATGATCTAAAAAGATTGAGTTGAAATGCAGTTAACACATAACAATGCAACATACAATTGACGTCATAATATCTATGATCCAGTCAATTTTGTACAATGCATAAAAGTTTTTATGAATTTGAG